TATCAAGGCTACTGGCCTCTGGAAGGCCTCCTACAGTTCCCTGTCCTGACCACTCTAGCCAGAACTTGTGTTTCTACTGCTCTCCCTGATGTGCTCAAAAAGCCACAGGAAAAGTTGAATGGCATTTCCCACATCGCGAGCATTGCGAGCAGATTCAGAGTGAGCAGCATGCCACACCACAGGACATTTCAAACAGTCCTAAAACTGTGACAACTGCAAAGACTTCTGCTCCCACAGGTTCTAGTTCCCAGAGGTACAGAGGAGCATCAGTGTGGAGTGTCCAGGAGATCTTAGACCTCACTGATGTGTTGGGAGATGAATCTATCCTCTCCCAGCTCTGAGCCAGCAAGAGGAATGCCAACATTTACAGCATGATCACAAGCTCCCTCGTGGTTAAAGGCTATTCCGGGGATGCCCAGCAGTGTCAAGTAAAAATCAAGGAGCTGAGGTAGTCCTACCACAAGCTAAACAAGACGAGTGGATGGTCTGGTGCAGCACCTCACATGTACCACTACTATGAGCAGCTAGGTGCCATTCTGGGAAAGGGTAGCTTCCCCAGCGTGATTGTGGAGTCTGGCCAAGACGCACCTGGCATCAGTGTGCAGGGCAGCATGATGGCAGAGGGCAAGGAGTAGACTAGCTGGTCAGCGATCCCTGAGAACCAAGAGCTGGACATGATGCTGGAGTCAGTCCCCTCTCCCAGTCCATCACCGACCCTAGGGAGGACACTTCTGGTGAGTACACAAAACCTTTTTCTAACTATAAGCAGGTTAAGACAATAGGGTGTGATGTGCAATGCACTCTGCCAACAGTGCAGGGAGCACGGAACAGCTTGTTAACATGTCTGCAGATGGAGCAGGAGTCTTGTCTGCACAGCTCCATGAAGCTCTCAGATAATAACTCTTTGATCCTTCTCACAAGGTTTTTGGGGAGGGCAGGCTTATGCGGTCCTCTGTGGTCGGACACCTTCCCATGCAAAGCCACCAGAAAGTGGCCTGGTGTCACTGAACCACAGAGCATTGAAGCATAAAGCCCAATTTATGGCCACATTCAGTTAGCATCTGCTCCTGATTACTCTGATTCAGAGAAAACTGATCTCTCATGTGACAACCTAGAGAAATGAGGAGGGAAGCTATTAGAACTCTTAGGTTGCCACGTGAGAAAAATGAGGAGGGAAGCTATTAGAACTCTTCCTAGGAAGCCACATGTGTCAGGGTCACATCCTCTCCCACTCCCTTCTCCCCGCCCCCACACACACACCTCGTGGTCAGGAAAAGCAATGTCCCCAGGAAGCTGGACCCTCTCACTCCCCTTCCCCCGCCCCCACACACACACCTCATGGTCAGGAAAAGCAATGTCCCCAGGAAGCTGGACCCAGTGTGTGCCAGACACAGCAGGAAGCTGCCCTCACCCACCACCTCCACCTGCAGATTCCTGCCCTGGCTGGCCCCTTACTATGATGGTCTCCCTCTAGACCAAGTGCATCCTGATGTTTCTCTGAGAAGTCTGTGCACCTGCAGTAAAGTGCCTGCTTTAAAGCAAACATTTGGCTTTGCATGGAACACAGTTCCTTTGTCTTTGCAGAGACTTTGGTGTAGGCTAACAGATTAGCATTAGATTTAACACAATGCATCTGCTGCAAAGTATGTCGTTGTCACTTTTCTTTGCAGCTTGTACAGCAGCTAGCTCAGTGCATACTCCCCCTCTTACAGCATCTGGCTGTTTGGCTCAGATCTGCAGGCAAAAGTAGGAAGGGAAGACATGTTTCAGCAGCAGATTGTCTGCATGCACTCCCTCATGGAGGAGATGCAGAGCACTTGGACTGGATCATGGAGTGGCAGAAGAGAAGAGCCTCCAGGGAGCAGCAGGAGACCATGTTTGCCTCCCTGACCACTGTGATGGAGTGCCTGGATATGTGTCTAGATAGAGTTTCCTCCCAGAATCCCATCCACACCAATGACAACCCTTGTCCCTCTTCCACCAGCCCCATGGCTTCCACCCCTAGGGTGCCCAGAAGCTGCTGGGGCCCCAGGACACGGGGAGGGGAAGAGACTCAAGGGGAGCCATACCCTCCAGGACCTTGGGAGACAGAAGAAGGTCCCACTTGCATTCCTCAGCCCCCCTCTGCATTTTGGGTTCCCATTTCTTTTCTTTTCCTGCTGTTTTCCCCATATTAAAAAATGCCTGTTCTTTGAACAACAGTCTCTTCATAGGTTGAACTGCATGGGTGGGGTGAGGGAATAAAGGCCCTGCTGTTTTCCCCATATTAAAAAAATGCCTGTTCTTTGAACAGTCTCTTCATAGGTTGAACTGCATGGGTGGGGTGAGGGAATAAAGGCATACACAGGGAATGCAGGGGCAACCTGTGGAGAGCCAGATGGAAGTCTCAAAAGAGGCCATTGTCCTTCAAGGCCTTTCTAATTTGTGCTGCCCCTTTCTGTGCTCTCTATCACACTGGTATCCGGCTCTTAAAACTCTGTCTAGGTGCTCTGCTTTAGCCCCCCACCTTGCCAGAAAAGTTTCCCTCTTGCTCTCACCCAGATTATGGAGCAAACAAGTTGACACCACAAAGGGAATGTTGTGTATCTAGAGGTCCAGACGAGTCAGGAGACTCCTAAACCTACCCTTTAAATGTCTAATTGCACATCTGACTACTATTCTGCACTTGCTCAGCCTTTGATGAAGGGTCCTGGCTGCCCGTATATGGCTTCATGAGCCATGGGAGCAAAGGGTAGGCTGGGTCACCAACAATCACAATAGGTATTTCCACCTCTGACTGATTTTTTGGTCTAAGCAAAAAGAACCAGAAACACACAAAAAAAAAGTGCCACTCTGCATCTTTCGGAAAAGTCAGGTGTTCCAAAAGATGCAGGCATCATGCATCTTTGCTGACCATCCCACACTTATGTCAGTGAAACAGCCCTTGTGATCCATCAGCACCGTGGAGTTGTACACCCTGCAGTTGCTGTACTCCAAGGCAAAGTGGATTGGGACCTAGATGGGGGATGTGCATTCAGTTTATGGCCCCACCACAGTTAGGGAAGCCCATGATAGCAAAGCTAACCACTGTGGAGTTCATGTTTACCAGAGGCACAACCTTCCATAGCAGAATGGTGTTGCTCATAAATAGCCAAGATAAAACA